TCACGTTCTTCGAAACCGACCAGACGCGCGCGACCTACCACTGTTATGGTAAGCAATTATCCTGAAGGTGTTAATGTTCCCGTGACAGTCTTCGCACTGAAGGTGTAAATGGTAAACCGAACGGTCGCTTTGATCATCAGAAAGACCTGTCAACTTTGATGATTTAACTGATTAAATTACGGGACAGAAATTTTACTGCATGCGGCTCCTCGTGACCGGATACAGAGACAATTCCCGCTTTCCGGTTTCGTCTTTATTGACTCTTCGGATGTCTCTGCTTTACAAGACGCGGGTGGCTATGCCACTTCCAACCAAAGTAACCTCGAGTTGCATTTGGGTTGCTATACCTGTTGATTGAGTTATTTTACATTGGTATGCCTGCGGTGCGGTACGGACGGACGGTCGTTCGGTCGGTGTACGGTCACGTGATTACCAAATTTTCTGGGATGGATAGATTTTCTTACCCATGGTGCTCCGCCTCGCGCGCGCGAGAGCTCTGCTATAATCTGTCAGCACGTCTGTCAGCACACTTGCTCAGCGCTTTTTTCCTACAACCTTTCTCGAAATAGCTGTATACAAGGCCTTAAAATGCATTTGGATAAAGCGCTTTAGACTGAATGAGAATTCAGCATGGACGGTTATTCCTAATGAAGCCACTTCACACTTGGGAGGTTTTTCCTTCCTCTCTAAGTGCTACTGCAACAGCAAAGATATCAGGATTAAGGAGTTACCACTTTTTTACATAAGAACACTGTAATACTGGTTTGAGTTTAAGGATATGCAAGATAATACTAAGCCAGGTTTAAAAAACACGATCATATGGAACAGCAAAGACGTTAAAATTGATAATAATACTATCTTTTTTCGAACTTGGTTTAGTAGAGGAGTTTCCACTTTAGAAAACCTTCTTGATTATAATCTTGATTTCATTACTTACGAAGAATTTAAAACCCGCTACCAAATAAAAACAATTTTTTTGACTTATTACGGAGCAATACACGTTATTCCAAATGAATATAAAAAATCTATCAAACAAACGAACGTGAAAAAAGAACAACCTACACAGCAAAGTCAGTGCTTGAAAGCACTAACAACCAAGGCTGTACGTAAGAGTTTTGTTAAACACATATTTGAGGTACCTACAGCCACACAACGCCTTATTGACAATTGGTTACCACCAGACTACATAAACGATTACTTTAACTTAGCTATTTCTAGTACGAAAGAAACAAAGCTAATTATGTTCCAATACAAGATTTTACACGACATAGTTTTTACTGTGAAAGGTTTGAACCCAGGAGTCATTTCAAAAGTAGGTTGAGTTTGATCGTCCGGGTGAACGTAGTCCTGAATAGGACTGTTGTTGTTGACAGTGACTGACGTTTCGACAACCTGTCCGGTAGTCATCTTCAGAGTCAAAGTGAGTTGTATCACGTCAGTTGATGGTTTTATACTCTGGTAGGTACCTATGCGGCCTATAGTTTCTTTCTGTGGGTCCCCAACCTACCAACTATCTAAATACTTAACTAACGTACTGAAACCGCTGACTGACGAATCTAGACACAAACTACAGTCTACTGAGAACTTTATTGACGCCATCAAGACAATACAGATACCGGACGACCACAAACTTGTGTCCTTTGACGTGAAATCGCTGTTCACCAGTATTCCACTTCAACTGGCTCTAGACTGTACTGAGAACGCTATTAAGAACTCTACTGTTGAACTACCACTACCTACAGACGACATTATGGACCTACTCAACCTCTGTTTGACTTCAACGTACTTTCAGTACAACGGTAAACACTACAAACAGTTACACGGTACAGCTATGGGCTCTCCAGTTTCTGTTGTTGTAGCGGAAATTGTCATGCAAAACATCGAGGAACAAGCCCTAGCTACCTACACGCGAACTGTACCTCTTTGGTTACGTTACGTTGACGACACATTCACCGCCGTACACAAAGACGGAATCGACGATTTTCACGAAGACCTTAACAGACAGAACGCGGACATACAGTTCACCAAGGAGATCGAAGAAAATGGTAAGATACCTTTTCTAGACTGCTTGGTCACTCGCGACAACAACAAACTAAAAACGACTATTTACAGAAAACCGACACATACCGACCGATTACTAGAGCAGTCTTCGTACAACCCGACCTCTCACAAAGCTACTACTATCCGGACTCTGACAAGACGAGCGCAACTAGTTTGTGACTCCCCTGACAGCCTACATGACGAGACTGATTATCTTAACAACGTTTTTAGTAAGAACAATTACAACACGGACTTTGTTAGACGGAACACTCACAGTAACACTGATTCCAACACACAGACCAACTCTGGCCCTGTTACGACAGCGACTATACCGTACATCCGAGGCACCTCTGAAACTACTACCTTACGGCGACTGCTTACTAATGTCAAGGACAAAGACAAACCGGAGGACAGACAGGGAGCAGTATACAAGATCAAATGCTGCGACTGCCAGGCTTCTTACGTTGGTGAAACCGGCACAAACCTAAGCACGCGACTGACCAAACACAAACGAGCTACGAAGAATGGTGACGTCGACAATCACATTGATGAGCACCATTTAAAGACGAAACATCAAATTGACTGGGACTCTGCGACATGTATAACGTATTCTACAGACTACTATCAACGTCTTACTTTAGAAAGCTGGTTACTAACTTAGAACAAACGCCACTGAATCGTAGCCAACAATTACCAGCGCCATACAAACGACTTATTGACGGGATCAAGCAAAACTAACTACGAGAGAATGACAATTTGACTAACAATAGACGACTGTTTAACTGTGACAATAGACGGATCGAAACGCACCAATTACTGATTACGAGTCTTCATAGCCAATAACATCACGGCTTAACTGACAGACGACCAATAACATCACGACGTAATTGACCAATCAGATCAATAACCAGAGTATAATACCATCAACTGACGTGATACAACTCACTTTGACTCTGAAGATGATTACCGCACAGGTTGTCGAAACGTCAGTCACTGTCAACAACATTAGTCCTATTCAGGACTACGTTCACCCGGACGATCAAACTCAACCTACTTTTGAAATAGTTTTTACTAAGGAAAAATTGTTCAGAGCTAATATCGCCTATAGCGATCTCTGTTATCTTTGCTTGGAAACAAATCAAGATCTGAAACACATGCTAGTCTCGTGTCAATTCGTCTCAGAGTTCTGGGAAGCTTTCCTGTACTGGTACAAGTCTCACGTTTCAGTAGCGCTAGGACTATCAACTATTAATATCTTGTATGGTATTACTGGTAACAACCACCTCAGTAAGTTAACTAATCATCTCTTACTACTTGGAAAATATTATATCTACTGCTGCAGTATCACAGAAGAGCCTTTGTTATTAAGTGTTTATCTAACTATAGGGGGTAAACAAAGCCGTGATAGAAAAACAAATTGCAGTAAGCGTTAACTCACCTGAATATTATTATAACAAATGGAAACCTTAAAATTGAGAAGAAGTTTGTTCGCTAGCTATATTTAAATTCAACTAGTAAGGTTATACTCAACATTAGACTCGCATTTTATTGTACTTTTGTAGCAAGACTGTAATACAATATACTGCAATTTATTGTAAAGTATCGTAATTTTTTTTGGTTTGCGTAAGTGTTGATAGAGATTGAAAAAGAAAATTTGAAAAAAATGTACATTTATTTGACTGAGAAGCAAAACTATCTTTGATATATCTTCGAAGTGGTCGGTTACAGGAGGTGGTCGCTATGAGAGTGTTGACTGTATTCCCACTAAAAAAAATAAATGATACGTTTTGTAATTGGCCTATATTCCCTGTTTTCCGATTTGGCGTTCCAAAGCCAACGTCAATGGTTTGTTTGGTCACATTAGTGGCCACTTCAATTCGATTTGACATAAATATTTCTGAATTGATCGTGTTACTTTAGGCAGCTGTTTTATGGTTGAGGTGTTGTATTTGTTGTGTTAACAGACTCTTGTTGTCATGATTTATTGCAGCAAAGACGTTCCCTGCATTTGCTAAGTCGCTGTATTCTTGAAAATCGACGACCTATGATATGATATTTTTCAGTCATTTTTGCTCATATTACGTCTTCTAGAAGCACTTTCACAATCACACCTTTCGCACTCGTGTCTCCTTTTGCGTGCTGCTCTTGCAACTCCCCCAAATGGAGAGCTTGCTTGCAGCCTATGTTTTGCTCAGTCAGTTTGTCGATGTTAGTTACACATGAGTAATGCATTTAAGTCTCAGTCTTATTAGCAGTGGTTTGTCTGTAAATGGTGTTTAGCAATTAACTTTTGTTTTTGTTTCGATAGTGCAGCTTTTCCAGGGTAACAATGATTTGGAAGTCAGATCTATAGGTCACAGGTGAGGCTTTTGTTTCAAATGCATGCTTTCCTTTTTCACATACTCTCGTCTTTTGAATTTTCTTAACTGGTCCTGCCGGTAGATTGTATCACTGGTAAACAGCCCTGAAGTGGAATTGTTTTACAGCATTCGGACTATTCAGTTGGTACTCTTCAGAAATCCCGCTCTGCGTGGTATGTGTAGAGGAAGAAAACTTACCAAGCACATCTCACTACATTTTCGGCTTAAAAGGCGTGTGCCAGATATAATGTGGCGACTTCACAATCCCTCTTAACTTGCAGGTTCTATTCGTTCAGGTATTCGATTCTGTTTACTCTTTGTGTAGGCTGGCAAAGTTTTGCATATAATCTGTATTAGTATATACACACTCAGTGATCTTAATGATTTAAGCAATCTGATTGGTTCGCTATCTCGGCTTATTCAACAATATTCACCTCCTAGGGAGTGGATAATGTGAGAGCTCGGTGTTTTTCCCATTTTTTTAAAGAACGATCTCTTAAAAGTCAACAAAATCCTAGGGCTGACTTTTTTATGGCAAGAAAAGACTTGGAAGGATTCAAAACGGCGTTTTTCCAGTTACTATAGCTGAGTTTTGTGCCTGATGGATTGTTTACAACTCCCATTTATTCGCGTAGAAGAAGCCGTTTCGTGAACTCAGCGCGCCTTTCCTAAAAGAAAATTTGGCCCAGAAATCGAAGTTTATTTATGACAAACATTTTTGAAAGTAAATGTTTGCAAAAATTCTACGTTTCAAGTAAACAGGGAAAAAAATGGTACAGGAAGACGACGTTTTACCTCGAGCAACCGAGCCGCTATTTTTGTCAGCACTTCATGCGAAGAACGACACAACAATCCCTTTTGGCTATAAACTTGGCGAGTCAACAGAAACCAACAAAGCTCTACTTTTCTGCTCAAGTAAGGAAACAATTCAAACTTTTAACGGTTCCATTTAAGCTATTACGCTGTTGTCTGCGAAGTGATAAACTTGTGTACATGAATTGCCATGTTTGAAAATTCTGCAAAGATCTATTTCTAAACTTTCTCGTGATTTGACCAATCAATAAAATTGACTTTTTAATGGTTTCCTCTCTGATTTTGTTAAGATCACTTCGTGTGTATATAATAAAACAATTATTCTTTTCAATCTCGATCATAGTGGCTTTAGGAATATTTAACTCACCGCTTCACGCCTCGGTAAATAAAACCACTATTCACCTCGATTTCAAAGAATAATTGTCAAATGTACTCCAAGCTTTACCTTTTTAAGCCGCTTGGAGCAAGCCAATCACATAGTGCAAAACCGCCATGCTTGAGAGCAAGAGACACACTGGGTCAAAAAAACAAACAAATTGACCATTTTAAACGATGTAAGCCTTTTGTTTGTCTTGTCTCAGTGCTTCCCTCACTCTAAAGCATGGCGATTTTGTACCACATCAATGACTAGCTGCAAAGAGGCTATTGACACGTGTCTGTAATGTTTGTGGTATAAATCATACATAAATCCTCACCTAAAAGTAGTTGTTCTGTATTTATATTCCTCAGCGTATTTTATGCGGCAAAGATCCTACTTAGTTGATATAAAGACAAGTTTACAGACAACAATAAAAAGGTCCTGTAGCAGCTGTTTGGAAGAGAGGTTACCAATGGTGCCTACCCCTGACCCCAAACAATACTAAAAAAATTAAAAGAATGAAATGTAATTGTTTCCTGCGACCAATCAGGAGATACCTTACGAGCAGCTCCTACACTACCCAATAAAAAAAAAATAACATTAAGATGGACATAATGTCACATAAAATAACATATTGCGGCGTCACAGCCACACCACACCAGAAAAAAAAAACATCTCGTTGTCTTCGTACTTGCAGTTGTGGAAGTTTGATTATCGAACTGGCCCTTGAATTCTCATCACTTGTATCAGAAGCTTCGGTAGTGAACACGCTTCGAACGGCTGCCACAAATAACAATTTTGGAGAATTCGCTGTCTATGCTTCGTCCATACAAGCCATTGCTGTGATTGAAAGTACGTCCACGCCTCCTACAGGAATCCTCTGATGGTATGGTTTAATTAAATATGTATAGTTTTCTCCCTGGTTTTTCAGTTATCAAATCGTGATTGAGAGTGTGTTAAATGATAATGCGTCTAGGCGCTTTGTCCAGCTTTATAGTGGTTTCAAATGTACTCAAATGCTATGTAGCCGAGATTGTTTGTTTCTCTACTCTTAAAAGGTTAACCTTGAATTTTTGAATAAAAATGTTTTTTGCTCATTTCCTTTCTTTAAGATGAACGCTCTTTTTGATATACAAATCATGTCCAGCAACATACAAATCATGTCAAAGAGAAAGTAAAATCCACTATAATTACATTTGATTCTTAAGAGCCATTTTCTGAGAAAATCGAGAATCGCAAGACACTCGTCAAAAAATCGAATTTTTTATTATTTTGCCAAAACATCCCTTTTAGTGACCTTATTTAAGGAAAAATAGTTTTGGGTTCAAACGATTCATTTTAAAGGAGAAATTAGGAAAAGTTTGAAAAATCGATTTTATGCTCGTTTTTCGCACAAAACACGGCAGGATGCAATGGCAACTTCGAGAGAAGGGTGAACGCGTAAGAAACATTCCCTGACATTGAAACTTCACCGAATTATTATTTTGTTCTTACTCTTGAAAATCCTAAAAGAAAATTTGATAAACAATGCTTTACATTTTTATAATCGACAAGTCTAAAGAGGTCATATTTGTGACGTTAGACGTGCTAGAAAATGAAGGCCAACTTTGACTATTAAAAAAGGCCTCTGGTATATGCCGCTTGATCATAAAATCAATATAAAATGGAACCTTGGCTTTTGTACTAACTTACTGGAAAGTTTTAGCTCTGGAAATCAAATATCATCCTGACACCAAAGCAAGCGGTGAGAGCAATTGAATTGGGAAATTTATGCAAATTAGACGGCTTGCGGACGGTTGTCAAACTAAAAGAAAGGTTTTACATGAAAGGATTACTCACCATTGCTTGTAACACGTTTTTACGGCAAGGAAAGTTATTTCCAACTTCTGTTGCGTCGGTTTGAGTCACAAAATCCATAATTTTAAGCCAAAAGGTCCAAAAGACAAACGCACGTTTGCTCAGCGACTGCGCCAGAATCCGGCCGTGAATCGAAATGAAGTCACAACACGTCACTGCGGTCCTTTAGAAGCAAGAGTTGCAAGAGTTTTTACTTCAGTCAGGAGGCCAAAAGATTGAAAATTCATCGCAAACTAATGACTTCGATTTTGAAAACCTTTCATCACTTCAATCGTTCGCCGGCTGATAATAAACATCACACAAGATCGTATGACCTTTGGCGTGTGACCGGAAATCGGTCACACCCTCAAGTCACGTTAGCATACTGTCACGAATTTTAATACGATTTTTCACGTTTGCTTTCGACAAAAAATAGACTCATCGAAATAAAATCAGGCCTGCTTTATTTATTTATTTATTTTTTAATTTCTTTTATAGCCTGCAGAACTTGTTCCCCATGCATCGCGCGTGTCTCGCGCCCCCAGTCCGCTTCGCAGTGCTAGCGTGAAAAGCGCAAAAAACTGAAATTGACTCCTGTTCTGCAGTTGATTTCTTTTATAGACACCTTCTAGGCATTGACAGGCTGTGAAAAAAGTGTATTTTTATTATTATTATTTTTTGAAGTGCTACATCATTTTCCTATAAATTTCAAACGTGACTGCTAAAAGACTGTTTGGAACCCATGGATGGAGAAAAGCTGTGCCGGAGAGAAGGTCAACCTCCCAGCCGAGCCAACTTTTGCGAGCGTTTATATGAGGAAAAAACTGACCACTTTGTCCGAGTCAACAGTGCTTGCGCATGCTGTCTTTGTCTAGCCTTGACC